TGTACTCTTTCGCCAAGTCCAATGGCGCATCCCTTCATGTCCAATCGTGTTACATGCATGCAGAGATGCCTTCTCAAAGGCTGCCACCTAGCCCGCGCCTACTCTGCACCTACACTATAACCTCTAAGGCTCCTCCCATCACGTCCAATAGTGTTACATGCATTCAGGGATGCCTTTTCCAAGGCTGTCACCTAGTCTGCGCCTACTCTGCAACCCATGCCACCTCTTATTCGCCAATGGGGATGACGACACCTTTCATTTTTGTACTCTTTCGCCAAGTCCAATGGCGCCTCCCTTCATGTCCAATCGTGTTACATGCATGCAGAGATGCCTTCTCCAAAGCTACCACATAGCCTGCGCCTATACTGCAAGAGTGACACTTATCATGCATGTATGCACCAGCTACCACCTCACTTACTCTATAAATACAGAGCATAACATACTTCTCTTACACCCACAATCGTCTCACTCTCTGCTACAAACTCTTTCATAATCCCTTACAATTTCAAACTCTTTCATAATCTCAGACATTTTCAACAATGGCTCTTCTCACAATGAGCGATTCTCACAGAGGCACAAGGGACAACATTGCATCATTTGTAAGTTTCTTTTATAGTTATACATTTTTCATACTTCTGGTAATGCTTTGTTCATCTTACTTACTCTTACACCTTTTACATTTTTAACTCAGGATACCAAAAGATTCAGAATCCGGTCTCACAACTACCTTGCTCCCGACCCATTGATTGTACCATATCTTGAATACGCAGGTTTCAGACACGTTATAAAGATCTCCAACTGCACAATTGATTCAAAGTTCATACTTGCAATGTTGGAAAGATGGAGACCAGAGACCCATACATTTCACCTACCAATAGGTGAATGTACCGTCACGCTAGAGGACGTGTACATGTTACTGGGTCTCTCTGTCGACGGTAAGGCCGTTAACGGGTCAGCTCAACAACCCAATTCTCTGTGTGAAGAATTATTAGGCAGGGATATGGTTGAAGGTGGTGGTGTAAGAGGTCAGGGTATACTACTAACTGAGCTTAAAAATCATTATGCGAATTTGGAATTAAACGAAAATTCTTCTGAGCTAGCCAAGGTAATAAAAGCCAGAACTTATATAATGATACTATTTGGAACCTTTTTATTTCACGAAAGTACGGGAAATAATGTAAATTTTATGTATTTAAATTTACTTAGAGACTTCGAAAAAACTAGAAAGTATAGTTGGGGTTCTGCTGTTTTAGCCCATCTATACAGTTCCTTGTGTAAAAATGCAATCAAGGAAAAATATACATTTTATGGTTGTGCTTTTTTACTTCAAGCCTGGGGTTGGTGGAGGATGAAGTCCCTAAACCCCGTCAACAACAACAAATTCGTTTTCCCGTATGCAACAAAGTAAGTCATCAAGTTATATCATTTATTACTATTCATCTCTTCACCAAATATATTATAAAAATAAAATATTTTTCATTTCCTTTAGGTATTGCGTGAGGGGTATGGATTACGACAAGAATCCAAGATTCAATGTCACACTATACCGCAATCTATTGGATCATCTTGGCCCGGATGATGTACGTCGCACCTTTCAACTTTTCTACTTCTAAAATAATTTATATATTAAGTTTTCATTAATCTGATTTAATTTTATGCGCAGTTTGTCTGGAGACCATATTTGGGTTTGGGCCATGAACCAAACCCCGAGGATGCAGCAATTTGGAGCACCAAGACTGCAATCATATGGTTCAATATTATGGAGATGCACCACAGCGACCGTGTGAAGATGCAATTTGGAATGCATCAAGAGATACCCAGCGATCCGACTTGTTTGCCCCCGTGGCATCTCAAAAGGGTCGATGCCCAATGGGGTCTTACCAACTGGAAAGACTTTGCTCCAGAATGGTGTAAGATGTGGCAGATGCGTCACCAACATGTTTTACAATTCCCAGTTTTCCTCAATCATGGTAATATGTGACACACGAATCAGTATTTATCTTGGTATAGACCGGTTAGTAACCCTGAAATGCACGTGTCTCATCCAAAGTATTTGGTTGACCCACGAACACAATGGGCACAACCCTCATTTCCCCAACAACAAACCCAACTCACATCAACCTCCCAGCAACCCCCAGACGAAACAGAACCACAAACATCCAACCACAGTCGCCACCATAATACAATTACACCCACATGCCCTACAACCAACCACAATCACCACCTCAATACCAATACCCCCATATGCCTCACACCCAACCACAATTTCAATCACAATACTAACACACCCGCATACCCCACACACAATTTCAGTCTTCTACATACCCCAATATGGGCCCCTCAACATCCAACATTAGCCCTGATCTGGGAATGTCGGAAGATTATGAACCAACCGACCCAACTTACCATCAACCACAATATCACCAAGCCACCCAACATCCTCAATACCAAACACCCTAAGATCCATTTCCTTTCTACCCCCCGTACTCAGACGACCAATGCTACAGACCAACCATGAAACTCCATCCACCGCCAACACGATCAAACTTTAAGGGTATGGGTAACCGACTGTACCAAAGCGGATCTTCGAGATATGGAGATTTGACTGATTTCATGGATCTGGAACGCATTGACTTTGCTGGGCCATCGACCCTGCCACAATAGGAAACGCGATGAAACCCAACACGAGAAAGGCGAGGACGAGGATGCGAAATCGGGGGTCATTACCGGGTTCTGGGGGACCACTGATTAATCTGTTTTTTATGTAATACTTATGTGTGTGATCATATTTTGTAAATAAAAAGTCAATTTTGTTGATCCTATATCGAATACGTAATGCACCGCATTAAAAAAAATGTGAAAATTGCTCTAGCAAATGCACTAAGGCGCCATCTCACTTGGCTTAGGGCTTGCCCTAAGCACCTAGGCGCCAAGTGAGATGGCGCCTCCCCTTAAAATGTAGGTGTAGGCGCCAAGTGAGATGACTCATCGTTTGAGGAGTCATCTGAAACATGGTTATTTGTGAAATTTTTTTAATACATGGTTATTCAAAAAAAAAATTGATTTATTGACCATTTTTTTAAAATATTTGAAAATAACTACATGTGTTAACAATGAGGGAGAGTGTACATATTTAGAATTTTTTTTAGAATAACCAGGTATTAAATTTTTTTCCGCAAATAACTATGTTTCGGAAAAAATTACGCAAATAACCATGTTTCAGATGACTCCCCAAAGGAGGATCCATCTCACTTAGCGCCTACACCTATTTTTTAAGGGGAGACGTCATCTCACTTGTCGCCTAGGTGCTTAGGGCTTGCCCTAAGCCAAGTGAGATGGCGCCTTAGTGCATTTGCTAGGGCAATTTTTGCGTTTTTTTTACAATTCGGTGTGTTATATATTCGATATAGGATTAATAAAATTGACTTTTTATTTACAAAAAATGATTACACCTATAAGTATTACATATAAAAAAACAGATTAAATAATGTTGTGTAATTTTTTATGACGTAGTTGGATGCATTCATCTTCTTCAATGGTATGATCAACTTCCTAATTTTCTTCTTCATCTTCTTTGACACTAACTGTATATAGTAGCAAGCAATTCATGCTTCGTTCAAAAAAATAATGCAGCACATGAATCTAACCTCATCATAAACTTCTTTAATCACTATGTTTCTAATATAAAATAGAAAGTGTTGTTTTGGTTCAGAGGTATCAATTGGCTGACATGTTTTATTGTTGAGGAGTTAAATAGTTTAAAGTAAATTATATACAATTTTTACTACATTTACTAGAATATAATAAATATTAATCGATTTAGTGTGCATGAATGACATATAACCTGAGAAGTATGAGTGTTATGTGTAAGTGTGCATGAATGACATGTAACCTGAGAAGTATGAGTGTTATGTGTAATTGATGATTAATGTTGTTTTCTGATTGCCAACCGTAGAAAGATAGGAGTATCTTTGCAGAATATCACATGCAATACTATTAACAAATTCACAATATTGGGTTGACATGTGACAAGTTATCATATTGTTCCTGACCATCTACATAACTCAAAGAGTGAAGGTCTAACAAAGAAGTAACAAAACATCACGTACGGTACAGATAGACTCTTTTATCTACTACACAGACAATTCTTTCTGCGAGGACTTTGCCAACTGCCAGATCAATATGACGGATGACCGTGATAGAAACCAACTGATATAGAATAAGATATAGGGAAACTTCCTTTTAAAACATAATGATATTGCAGAACTTCGAGGGTCTGCACCTCCCAAATGCCAAAATAGTCCTTTTTCCTATCCAATTCCAAGATGATCATCTCTCTAATATCTTCCCCTATTTATTCTAAACCTAAACACTCTTAATTAATTATATAATAATTCTAATAATTAACCACTAACTCTCCTAATAATTTAATATCAGTTGCAAAACTGAAGAGTCTAACAATACTCCCCTCTAAAGATTCATTTTGTCCTCAAGGTGAAAGAAATACATAGGAAAAATTATCCTCCCGGATCCCATAATATGAAAAATAAAGGTTGAGTTGTACATGAAATAGGAAATTTCCTTGCTAATGGCAAGGAATCTTTAGGGGGGAGTATTGTTAAACTCTTCAGTTTTGTAACTGATATTAAATTATTAGGACAGTTAGTGGTTAATTATTAGAATTAACCAATTGATATAGAATAAGATATAGGGAAACTCCCTTTTAAAACAGAATGATATTGCACAACTTCGAGGATCTGCACCTCCCAAATGCCAAAATGGCCCTTTTTCCTATCCAATTCTAAGATGATCATCTCTCTAATATCTTCCCCTATTTATTCTAAACCTAAACACTCTTAATTAATTATATAATAATTCTAATAATTAACCACTAACTCTCCTAATAATTTAATATCAGTTACAAAACTGAAGAGTCTAACAATACTCCCCCCCTAAAGATTCACCTTGTCCTCAAGGTGAAAGAAATACATAAGAAAAATTTATCCTCCCGGATCCCATAATATGAAAAATAAAGGTTGAGTTGTACATGAAATAGGAAATTTCCTTGCTAATGGCAGTCCTCTTGTGACCAGATTTTGTGGCCACAATGGCACCAGTAGTGGAAATTTCTTGTTCCTAAACTTTATCTTAGGAATAGTAGCAAACACCGACAATAATGAGTCTTTTGCCTGTGATGAAATAGCCGAATCTCTGTCACTTCTATGGACCTTTGCTTCACTAGCGGCCATCAATGAATCTGTATTTTTCACTTTGTCGCCTTCACAATCAGATTTGATATCCACTTTACAAACTTCTTTTTCACTGTATTGTTGGATTTGTGAGTCTTCAACTTTACCACCAATCATTTCTTCGGTTGGAGATGCTATTGGTTCTTGAATTTTACCGCTGCCTTGGATTTCCTGTGTTTCATTTTCAGACTCCAGTAGACAAACCCAAACTTCTGGTTGGAATTTCTTGAGAATGGCCTTTGCAAAATTCCACCAACAAGTATTTGGATGACTCTCCTTCCAAGAAATCCACCAATCAAGGGCATCTCCTCTCAATGCAAATGCCACAGCCCACTCAAGCTTCATCTCTGCACTCATTCTTCTTGACCCAAAATATTGCTCAGCTTGGATCAGCCCCCAATAGGCCTCCCTTCCATCAAATCTTGGAATCAAATCTGCAGCCATATTCATGCCAAAATTTCCAGCACACTGACAAAGTCTCTTTTGGATCAGAACTGCTCTGATACCAGTTGATAGAAACCAACTGAGATAGAATAAGATATAGGGAAACTCCCTTTTAAAACAGAATGATATTGTCACGTACATTCAGTTTCCAACCGTTTATGCTATTTAAAGAAGGAAGCGCGTCATTTCTCATGTGTTCAAATCCTCTCTCATCCAAACGCCACTTTTCATTCTCACAATGACTTAAGCATTATAGTGCTAAACTTGCATGTCAGCCCCTCTTCACCGCATCAAAAGCTCAGAGCCACCGCAACTAATTTTGCCTCATCACTTTCTATTCGATTATAGTTCCACTACGGAACATTGGCACTGTTTGTGGGAATTGAGTTCTGAATTCTGATCCTACGATCTTCCACAATCAAACCTCTCTTCATTTAGTAGTCTCCTCCGCCAGAAATCCAGATCTCCTCTCCCTCAAAGTTGAGATCTTTATTTTCCAATCACTTTTTGAACTTCTTCCCCTTCGTGTCCTCCATCAGATCCATCGACTATGGCATCATCCATAGCTACTCTCTCCTATGTCCAACGGCAAGCCGTTGTTACCGCTGAGACTTCCAGAAATCCTCCATCTCTGCCTTAAGGGAAAAATGATGAAGTCCTGGTAGCTTCTCCATTTGTTTCTTCTTCACATGAAGATCATGTACAAACGGGGACGGGACATGGAGCATTTCAACCTCTTCCATTCCTCGGCTCTGGTCCACAATTCCACTAGGGAGAACCTTGGCTCGGACCTCCACTACTACTTGTGATGCCGGGGCAAGACATGCTTCCTGATTTTCAACTGGTGCAGGCTAATATTGGCGCGCAAGGAGCCAATGACATGCTGAATAACTTCTAAAACATGGTGCAGCAACAAAATTCTCAGGCATTGGCAGAAAGAAGTACAAGAAGCAACGTTGCCCAAGCCTCCATCCCTGAGCCAGTACCAATCCAGCCGGCAACAAGTCATCGATCCGCAAACAACATGATTCCAGCCAGGCAATGAGCCTTCTTGATCGCCCATACATACATACACAATATATTAAACATGTCTAAAATATTCTTTAAATAACAAGATCGAATTATTAATAACTTAGATTGAGAGGGGGGCGCGCGAACGCAGGCCTCCACAACAACAAATTATGATGTAGGTTCCACCACTTGGGTAGACCTTAGGCTAGCACCTCTCTTAAGTGCAATGGAGATCACTTGCCTAGGCCATGGACCTACATGATCATCCATTGACCCCATCCAGGTAAGTATGTAGCAATGTATCACTCACTCCTCTTTTATACCTCACTTTCCGTACTATTCACTCTAACAATTCGGATGCGGGACTTAGATAACATTGTAGTATTGATTCATCCTAAAGAGTAATATAATAAAAGATCATTGCAGTGCTGGAGTTGTATGAACACAGTCTATATTCACTTAGTGGATCAATCGTTAATACACCAACTCACATTTGCCACCTCCATTAGGATCAAATTGATAAAGTATTTATAACCATGTTGCGGTTGTGAAATCTCTCAAGTGAACATATGAAATCTTTGTTCCATGATCTCCTCATTTTCCCTCTGAGCTGAAAAAATGTTGTTAAATAAAAGTAGAGTTTCAACAAAAACTATTAGATTACTCCCACATTGTTGATGCGTAGAAAATATTCAAGAGTTATATACTTGAATCTAAGCATGAAATAGCACGACCTTACTTGAACAGGATCTGTTCTATAGGCTCGTACTACTGTGTCCTTGATTTCAAAGGAGATAGGAACATAAGTCTGGTGGATGAAGCAAGACCGTGTGATCACAGCGTGATTAACGGCCAAGATGAACTGCATGCTGTGTTCATCATCTTAGCTGTGGATGATCGTTCCTGGTTGGTTCCCCCAATTGGGGTGGTCACGCGGTGTTCTGACAGACCCGAAATCTATTTTTTATCATTACCCAAAACAAAACGGAAAAAAATTTGATTTGATTTTTCAGAAAGAGGTGACATTGTTTACCTTGCTTGTTGTTGTATTTGCCATATGGTGTTGATGAAGTTCACAAATCTTTGCAAGTGGAAATATAGAGCTAGGGTTCTTCTTCCCAAAGGATATCATAGAGACTCAACCACCATATCAAAATCATAATGCACTACACATTAACGGAGGAGGCAAACCCAAACGTATCGTGTGTTTTTTCTTTCTTTTCTTTTTTTTTTGTTTTGGTTTTGTAAAGTAATTCGTTTTTAATAATCAGCACAAAGACCATGGCTTCACAAATTTTAATAACTAAAGTATCCCAATCTAGCGATAATTGAATTTCAACACAAATATGAATAAGAACTCACCTTGCAACAGAGGATCTGTATTGAGTTAAACAATCTAGTTAGCAGCGTACATGAGACTCTCATCGATATTCTGCTAAGGCTTGTGTGCCTAAAAAATAAAGTGTGATGTGGTCAGTACGTAGTTGACAACTAGCTCACTAACAAGCTATTCACAGCTCTATTGAAAGTGAACTCATATCAGTGTATCAAACTAGTTGTGAACAAATCACCATTGTTTAGATATGCACCATCAGTTAATTTAACCAAAGCAGAACTGAGTTCTGAGTTGAAAAAATGTTGTTAAATAAAAGTAGAGTTTCAACAAAAACAATTACATTACTCCCACATTGTTGATGCGTAGAAAATATTCAAGAGTTATATACTTGAATCTAAGCATGAACTAGCACGACCTTACTTGAACAGGATCTGTTCTATAGGCTCGTACTACTGTGTCCTTGATTTCAAAGGAGACAGGAACATAAGTTTGGTCGATGAAGCAAGACCGTGTGATCAGAGCGTGATTAACGGCCAAGATGAACTGCTGCATGCTGTGGTCATCATCTTAGCTGTGGATGATCGTTCCTGGTTGGTTCCCCCAACTGTGGTGGTCACACGGTGCTCTGACAGACCCAAAATCTATTTTTTATCATTACCCAAAACGGAAAAAATTGATTTTTAAGAAAGAGATGACATTGTTTACCTTGCTTGGTTCAGAGAGAAGATGTAAGCTTGTTGTTGTATTTGCCATATGGTGTTGATGAAGTTCACAAATCTTTGCAAGTGGAAATATAGAGCTAGGGTTCTTCTTCCCTCTCCCAAAGATAACACTTGCTTGGTTTACTCCTTCACAAGGATATCATAGAGACTCAACCACCATATCAAGATCATAATGCACTACACATTAACGGAGGAGGCAAACCGAAACGTTTCGTGTGTTTTTTCTTCTTTCATTTTTTTGTTTTTGGTTTGGTAAAGTAATTTGTTTTTGTTCCAAGAAAAAAGTACTTTATTTTTTTTTATGTCAAATACAATATGAATTGTTGGATGACACGATGATAGGGGGAACTTCAACACATAATAGTGCATTCTCAATATTCTATATAACTAGAATGCATTTGTTGCACAATTACATGTCTATTAAATTATTGTTCGTAAAATTTGAATTCATTCTTCAATTTATTAACATTTACATAATTATAAAAATACGTTAATAATATGTACAAATTTTTAAGTATTGAATTGTACTTATAATAAATTGTACAATCGGTCATCTAATCTCAATTATATAAAAGAAGAGCAAAATAAATATTTAAATTATGGACATCAAAATCAACAGTCTAGAGTTTGTATCTCATATATACGTTCATATCTGCTCGTGGATCTATATGTCTGCAACGATCTTTATTACAATCAACAATCTATAACTGTAAAATAGAAAAATAAATTAAGAGATAAAAAAAAATCTTAGATTAATATACTTGACCCAGATAGTATTAAATTTTTAAAGTTAATCTGATTTTGTTAAAAACGTTCTACAATTTAATCAAAAATAAATTCTATAGGGAATTAATATAAAACAAAAATAAAATAAAGATTTAAAAGATGAACATTAAAATGAATAGTCTACCGTTGACATCTCATAGATACGTTCACATCTACCCGTGGTAATTTGTTTTATTTTAGTCATTTTTCTGAGTGATATTTTTCTTCTTTATTCAAATAAATCATAAGTTTTTCCACTGTCTTTTTTCTCACACGCCTTTCACGCTCTCTCGCTCTCTTAACCTCAGTCGTTCGCCGCCACTTTCTTCAAGGTCGTACCACATCTAACTCCAACCGGGGTAACAACGTCATCGATGTTGAAGCCGTCGTCGTGGCTTTTCTCAAAGATAAAAGCTTGTTTAAATCTGTTTTTATAAACAGAGTGATCGGTTTGGTCTGACGCTTCTCATAGATACGTACACATCTACCCGTGGTGTTGCTCGGATCTTAAAAAACATGTTAGGTATGTCCCTCAGCTCGACCATGACGGTGTCTCTGTTGGGTCTAATTACTGGGTTTGGTTTCAAAAACCCGTGAGGGTAAGCGTACTCTAGTTTCGGCGGTGAAGGCTAGTTTCAGTCAATGGCGATGATCTATTTCTATCGTTTTTTTCTTCTGAATTGTTGTTACCGTTTGGTGGATTGCTTTCTGTTTTGGTTTCTTGGTTATGCTTCAGATTTGTTGAGATCTGCATGATTCAAAAGCTTTGGAACTTGCATTTGCTTCTATAGAGTTTTCATATGATTAAACTAGTTTCAATAAATTTAGAATGATTTTGGGCTAGAAATAGCCATATATTCGTTGTCTGCGAGTTATGATTTCGGGAAGTTGTTACGGTGTTGACGGTCAATTTCAGATGTCGTTCCTCAAAAGATGAGTTTGTTTGTCTATGGTTTAGTCTGATGTTTTGAGACGTATACACGTATTTCTTTTACATTCTAGTTTTGTTCCCAGTGTTGGGTTCACTAATTTGTTTTTCGTGTATATCGTCCTTTAATATTTGATTTCTTTTAATGTATTACCCTTTTAGGGTTGATCTTGTGGTTGTTGTGTTTGGTTTATGCCCCCACACAAATCATAAACAAAAACCATAAACTATATTATTAAAAATT